TAAATTATGACATCAGAAAATGAGAAAATATATAATAAGAATTCTTGCAAATTATATTTCAATAAAACAACATTTGTAATTAATAGAATTGACTTACAAAATATACTGAAAATTACCGTTTTGTTTTAGAAAGGAATTAAATCATATTTATTTCTATATTAATTCTATATTAATTTGACAGTAGCTTATTTCTGTTTCTAATTATATATGCATTATTTATTTTTAGATATATAATTATTTATTAATTAATTAATGAAATGAAAGGAGAGTTTTTGGTATTTAAGTCAATACTAACTTTGTACATAAATGTTTTATATTCAAACATTTTAATATATTTTGTAAGAATTTTATTCATGCATATTTTTACGCTTCTAATGTTATAATTTGATATAAATAAAAGTCTTAAACGTTAAAGTAGACAAGTAATAAACATTGTATACATTTTCAGCAACAAAAATTAAACCTATTGCACACAATGTACTTTACTTAATTTACGAAATATGCGAAATTGCACCAAAAATTCTGCTTTATCGGAAGTCATGTCAGTTCGAAAAAACACCGTTGTCGCTTCGACAGGCGATTAAATCGTTAAAACTGTTTGACGCTTGATAAACTTTATTGCCGCTCGATATCGTGTTAGATTTATCCCTTCAGAGCGTATCATAAAAGATTTTCAACGTTCCTATCGAGGATACGCGCGCGCTCGATTTTATGAAAGAGCAAAGATTAAAGTAAATTCTTGTCTGAGCTAACATAGGAAAAATCTGTCATAAGGTATGTCAGTCATTTAATATTGCTTTAAATTTTTTCCTAAACACACAATTTTTTAATCTGTTATCAAAACAATGTTAACAAACGAAAACGTCACCTATCATTTTTTTTACTTGTCTACAAGGGAAAAAAAATATAGTTTACATAACTAAAAATATTTAGTTGTGAGCAATATAGAAATATCATCCTAATTATCTTTATGATAGGTATATGTGATAGGTATATGTGTGGTTGATACGATTTATTTATTTTGATGTGTCAACTATATTACTATATATAGTAATTAGGAGCGATTTTGATAACCAAAACTTGATTGGGGAATCATTTATTTATGGATAAGTTATCCGTATAGTTGCATCAACACTGACAATATAAAACGTGATATATAATAAGAATTAAATTATTAATAAGAATTTCTTGTTACATTATGCCATAAATTGAGTAAACAATTTCAAAAAGCAAAAGCGATTCACCATGCTTACAATTAAAAATATATGAATGTATATATGAAATGCCATCATTGCTGTAACATAACTTAATCTAACTATTGTACTATGATTCAAGCAACTATATAAATAGTTGCTCCATATTTTACTATTCAATCTGGATATTATCAAATTTCTATGCAGACCAATCATAGTGTTTTTCCAAGTAAAAATATTTAATTTTGATCGCATCATATATATATATATATATTAGCTCTTATCTAAAATTTACATGTATTTGATTTTTCATGTATCATTAACTCTACATACTCTAAAATTCATTTATATCTTTTAAATTTATTTTTCCAAATAGATACTATCTAAGTACATAATTCCCTGAAAGAGCGATGGACGTAATCGAGAAACTTCTCAACCACAACTACGAAGATTTCATCTCTTTCGAAATCTCATCTTCCCGAAAATATCGAAGATTACCCTTACAGTCATAAAAGCGCGGAATTCTCTTTTATCTTCGCCCTCGTTGCCTAAATTTTCCAAATTCGCTCCTTGTATCCAGCAGCATCCACCATCACGATGGGTGTTGAAGGACGAGCGCCGAGCGGCATACATGCATGTACGTTCAAGTGTGCGAGGGCAGCGCGCAAATATCAATCAGTGGAGTCAAGAGTGGAATCAGGGTGGCCGAGTGGTTCCACATAATGCTGCAACCAGGAGGTGAGAGAGCGTAGCGCGCAATGTGTATCTCGTGTTCGCTGGCCGGTGCAGTTCAGACACACTCGTACAGACGAACCCACGCACACATATAGCAGAAGCACAAACGCACACAAGCATAAAACCCCATCAGCAACCCCTCATGCGGTACCGCAGCAACGACGATCGGTAGCATTCGGTAGCATGGTCAGCCCCACTTCCTTTCATGGCTCGACGATCGTCCACGTGTTAGTTTGTGCGTGTATCACCATGTACACAGGGAGTAATCCGGTGTGTGTGTGGGTGGAGTGGAATGGAGGAGGCGTGCCCGGGAGGCGGGACCCGGGACCAAAATCTTGGTGTGCATCGCACTTCTGTGTGGGTGTTCTCCCTCTCCGTATAAACGCAGACGTTGTGTGCGTCGTTCGTGTGGCTCTCTCCATCCCTGTCCTTCTCTACGTCCGCCGCTCTCGCGATCGTCATCGCATGGGAGTCCCTCCACTATCAGACCCGTTAACAGCAGTCGGCGTCGAGGCACCCGCTCTAACAGCTAACGTCTCTCACATCCCCGGGTTTAAGCCGGTGCTTCGCCGTTTCCCGATCTGTCCTGTCCGGCCGATGGACTGCACGAAAATCAGTGTCACTGACAACCAAAAGTCCCGTCTCTTGCGCGATACTTATTTATTGTCGCAAAATAGACAAAAACTATCCTGTGAAGCTGGGGGCCTATCCAGGTATTGAATCATCATTACCAGCAGACTACTCCGAGTGTCTTGACTGTGTTGGCAAAAGAATCTCTAGTGCTTGTACTATCACGAGATTGATGTTGATATCCCATGAAAGGATGAAGTCCGTGAACAGGTAGTTCCTAGAAAGGATAGTACCAAACATACTTGGGATTGCATACGTTGCTGAAGAAGACACATTCTTTACTTAAAAAATTACCAAACAAACAATTTCGATAATTGTTGAGAAATCATTGTTTCTGAAAACACAAGTTTCCAAATATTTGAAAAATTCTTAGAGGCTGCCAACGTCTTTGAAAGGATTTTCTGGATAATTTCGTTTGAAATTAAATTAGGGAAGAGTGTGTATGTTTGTTTATTGCTGAGAAACTTAAAGATTGCAAGAGTGTTGGAAGAGGAGATGCGAATGTCGTGTGTAGTGACGCGAAAGTTGTAAAACGGTGAACGGATTCGAGGTCCAGGATGATGGAAGTGCAGCAACAACACTCGCCTGTCGGGGTGGGTCCATTAGACTTTTCGAGACGAGGAGTTGCCGAGGCATCAGCATTTCGAGTTGTCAAGCCTAAACAACCAGCTTCGTCGCTTGTACATCAACAACCGTTGCCGCCGGAAACCAACAACAATGAAAATCTTCAAGAAAATCCGCAGATTCCCATTGATGAAGGTAAGATTTCTTGAATGATCTATTAAAGCTAAATTATCACTATATTTATTAGTTAAGATGTTATTTTTTAACATTTTTAAATATTAACCGGAATATTTTTTAAGCGCATTTTAAGAACGATATTTTATAATAATTTTAGTATTGTTATAATAAGAAATAATTCATACAATAATTCTTTTATTTTCATTAACAATATTTGATAAATAAATATAAAACAAATCAAGTAAAATGAAATAATATATTTGTGTGTGCAAGAATGATTTTAAGCTGTAGATAAAATTAAATTATAGATAAAAAGTAACAAAATTTTTAAGCAAAAAGTATACAAACCTATATATCTTCAATTTTGAGTTACTCATAAAACTAAATTGTAGATAAAAAGTTATAGATAAAAAAATTGTAGATAAAAAAGGTGTATACAAACACAGGATGATTTCTGGCAACAGATACATCGTAACTCAGTAGATCATTATAGCTTTATTGTTTGTCAACGTTAAATATTGCAGATAAAATGATTACCAACAATCTTTTTTAATTGTAGATGTTGAGGCAAATATTGATTTGTAAGTAAATAATTAAATAAATTCAATATTATTTACTACATAATATTTGTAAAATATTTTTAATTAAAAAAAAATTGTCAATCCATTTAACGAATTTTTCAGGGATATAAAAATATACGTAACACAATTATATTTTCTCAAATTTTAGAATTAAAATTATATTTCGTCAGTAATACTCGCATATTTATGGATATATGCAATGGATGATTATCGCGATTAAAAATCCAGTATTCATCAATAATTCCAATCGAGACACTCACACGAGCTGATCAAACCCCAAATACACTGTAGAATGCAGAGAAAGCCCCATATTCCACATAATCAGCCGAAACATATCGTGTTCAGGTCCTTTGACATCTCCAGCCGTATGCCGTTCGCTGACGCAGTGCCGCCGACTCTCACCCCGTGGCCATCTCTCGCCTGTCATCATCCTATCTATTACCTGCCTATTACCCTTGCAACGTGGCGTTTACGCGGTAGCTCATGCAACTGTCGCGTCGACACCTGAGCTTGTGACACACGCGTGAGGATCGCACGCGAGAGCAAGCGGTATGCTCGTAGCTCATGCACGAACACGCACACGCGCGTGCAGGTGCGTAGGGGGCCGTCATCGTGCACAACGGTCTGTTCAACAGGTGAAAGGGGATGGCTGGTATTAGACGGCTGTCTATACTAATACCCCGCTACTAATCGTGGTAACAGGCTAAACGCAATAATATCGAGCTATAGGCGTTGATCTAAGCGGTTTAAGCGATAATTGCCAGGTGATAGGCAGCTCATCGAGGGGTTGCCTACTGTTCTGCTACTTGTACTCGTCAAGAAATTCCGTTTGGTATGAGGCTTGGAAGTTATATGAGAACATTTCTACTTATTTGCAGAATTATTGTTCCTTACGATTGAAAGGAAAAAAAGATATTTATAAAAGAAAAGATATTTATATTTCCTTGTAACATTTGAATTCTTATTTCTTTCAACAATAAGCTTAGGAAAAAGTTAATTATCCAAAAATGTATCTAATATCTGTGTAAATGTGTTTGGACTTCCACTTATTTAAGTACCTCAATCTTTTGTTCTTTGCATACTGATTAGAGAATTCAATTGTGTAAAGTATATTTTTAATTATAATATATATCCTATTGAATATATCTATTTTTTCCATTCTTCGTTTGGAAAAATCTTGCGACTCAAAGCTTTTAATGCGAAATGATTTTCTTGGTCTTAAAAACCGCCTTTAAATTCTTTGGATTTTTCCAATCTGTCAATCGGCTGTTTTTATCGATGATTTCCACGGCAAATCACATTGGCCTTACCGTTTTATAGATTTATGACAGACCGATAGCGCGAAACGTGTGCGAGACTACGTAAGATAAACGTAGTCGCGCGAGCAAACGGCACAATATCACCGATGTTCTCGCTAGCTGACAAACACACGTTACCTGCATTGTGTATACACGCGTATCAATGTATTACACCAGACCACCTTATCTCAAGCGTGCGGTATACACGCTCGTTGTATAGAAACATATGATTTATTTCTGATAATCCTGGCAAGAATGAGACAGCCTTTGCGGCGTGGAGTGTCTAATCTCTCTCCGTGCTATCTCAGATTATCCCATCGGTCCTCTATATTGCCCGGATTACAGATTTCTCTTGCTTTTTTTGGTCGATTCTTGGTATAATTGACCGATATCTCGTTATCGATAGATCTTGCAGCGATTACCGAGAGTACGGAAATGATATATCATATCGGATATAACAATAAATTTATTGTTCCCCGCAAATATTTACTATAATTAAGAATATAGAAATATACTGCCAAATTTTCATTATTAATAGTCTTTTCTTTTCTTCTTTTGGATTATTAATTTTAATTTTTTGTCATAGAATAACGTTATTATTGATATATTTTATTTAAATTATTGATATACTTTATTTTTAACATCACATTTCTTAATATTGATAAATTTAATACTATCGTAATTTAGATAAATTTTATCTTAATTTAAAGACATACACACTTATAGTAAGTGTAATTATAGTGCAAATATTTATTATTATCGAAAAAAATTCTAATGCATGTTATATTTTGCCTTATCTTATTTATCACTATTAACAAAGTTTTATTTTGCATTTTATTTCTGATTAGATTTTTGTCTTTATTCAACAATAAAATGAAGAGATTGACGCATGTACAATATGATATCGATGTAAAAAAAAAATAGATTTGATTTAGCTCAATTAAATTGAATGATTAGATAGGTTCTACACTCATCGTAAAGCGGATTTTATCGGACCTGTGTAAGAAAACCAACAGAGAGATTACAGTATGATCATTTATGATCGGTCGAACTGCAACTTTTCTTGACAATCGCGATTTATTTCTATAGTTATAGACTTGCCATAGTTACAGACTTCTTTGTTACGATATCAGAAATTGTTAATTTTCAGATTATTGAGCAATAAAATAAATGTGTTTTGCATATTTTTATTTATATTTATAAACTTAAAATGTCATAATAACTGTATATGAATTTTATAGATGTAATATTAAGCTATCAATTTTATCAATTTTAATTGTTTTACATTCAATTCGCTACTCATTGGTGATCTGCGATTGGTGAAAAAATTGTTGAATAAGTTGTGTCATTTTCAATATATAAATCTCTTAGTACGACAATATAATCGTGCCGATATTAATTCGATATACCGCATAGTTTTTGACATTCCGTATTCCAAGCGAAAAATGAAGATTTGGCTTGTTTAATTAATCATCGGGATGGCGAATTGGCGTGAAGTCTTCGAACTTTAATCCTCCACCGGAACGATCAAAGAAACCAACCAGAATGGATGGCGGATGTTCGAGGATAGGAATGCAGGTTTCGGGGAGAAAGAGAGCGAGTAATGGCCAAGGCAAGGTTGATAAATAGGAGGAGGGTTTCTTCTCCTTTCTAATAAAGACGCTCTTGTCGAGGGGTTGATCTTTCCTACGAACTAGGAATACTAAATTTGTCAGGACTTGAGATGTCATTGCAGCGTTAGTAGCTGACGGGGTAACGATGCATAAACGATCAAGAAAAATACCCAATCGATTCACCATTTGCATTACTATTTTTTCACATGGGATTTCGCGTACACTGTCTTTCAATGTCAAATCGTAATCGATTTAACTGTAATGGCAGATGTATTTATTCGATCAATTTAACATTTTACATTATATTTTTAATATAAAATAAAATAGGAATTTATCATGAAACATATTTAATAGAAACGTCTTTATTATTACAAACGTGTAATATAAAAATTAATGTTTAATACATATTAAATGTTATACATGTAAAATGTTTTAATACATACGTTTTAATACTATACGTCTAGATTAATTTTTAATAGAAGAGATTAATAAATTATATTTGTTTAACTGTTTTTAATATTATGTAATTGTCTTTTTTAGGAGGATGCAATGTTCGTTTAATGTTTCCGAGATTGTGGGCACCTTTTGGGAATGCGACGGAAGTTACGAATCTGCCACCTTTACCAAAGAGTCACTCAGGTAAGTGCATTATAGAAGAGCCAATAATTCGCTTCATAAGTTCGTATATTCAATCAAATTATAACGATAAAAGGATTTTTTAATATCAAAATGCAGTAGCATTCTTAACTTACTGCATTTGAAAAAGTTTTAAATTTTAATATTTCACTATATTATATATATATTTCATATTATTTTCATATGATATTCCCATATAGAAATGAAAAACAATAGAAAAAGCATTTATAAAAATAATTTGGACTTTGTCCTAATAATAATGCTTTTCATTAGCAAAGAAATCTTTTATCAAAAATTAATGTTATGATTATATTTTAAATTAAAATGTATCAAGTAAATTATGTATACATGTCATTTTGCGCGAGTTTACTTGTTACTGATTATTATTGTTCGTTACACTGATTATTATTGTTTATTACCTCACAACGTTTACTGCAGATTTATTATAGATACATATATACATTTTTAAATATTATTATTTTTAAATATTATTATTAAATGTTTAAAGAAACTGCGCTTAGGACGGGGAGTCGGCGCTTTAAACACACAATCGTCGCTGTACTTATTGCAATACATTTACCGTTGCTTTTTACTTTATTTCGGAAGGTGTAGACGGGCGGGTATAGAGTCGACCTTTCGCCTCGTAGTGATGATGGCTTCCTCCTCAGCCCGGATGACGGCAGGTTTTTATTTACCGATCATTAAGAACGACCGGTCGTCGTCGACGATTGGGATAAATGGTAGCACGCGTCATACCACGCATAGACATGGGTCTTTCTAACTCCTGCCGGCCCAATTGGAGCGGATTAGAGGCGCGGGTACAGGGATTCGGTCCGTCGGCTTCTTTGTGCTGTACCTACCCTGAATTAGTAACATCTTGTCATGTTAAATGTCCGTGCATACTCTCTTCCTACTTCTTCCGCGCGCGAGCGCGCGCGTGCACGTGGCCATTCATCTGCTCCGTTCATTCTCAGACATGATAAGATCAACCGCGTTACTACTTTTATCGTCGCGTTTACGTCCCCGCCGCTCTGCCAAGATTTGCGTCGTGCAAATATAGTGCTGCTTGAGCAATATCACATTATTATTTATATAGACTATCACTGCTATCTTTATTATAGAACGTGCAATAGATCAAGAAAATCGTAGAAAGAAGCTATTTTAAGCCAAGTAAGCGGAAATTTATTCTGTGATTTGTTAGAATATTGTATTGATATAATGAAAATTCTCAACAATCTTGACGTGTAGTAAATAACGAGGTAAACAATTTTTTTACAAGCAAATGAACTTTAGTATTTATTTCCTTCTAAAATTTTAAATTGAATGTTTTTGAAAAATGCAGATATTACATATTGATAATAGAATTAATTTTAGCATAAAAATATCTCTATTGTAACGTGCTGTCTAAATATTAACCTTTAGTGTAGATGACTTTTCAGTTCTTTAATTCTATTGTACATATAATGGTCATTCATATTCCGGATTCATTTTATTGCTTTAACAAATATACAAAAATTATACCTTTAAGCTTGAGGAAGCATTTGTAAGATTCTGCATTAAAAAAAAATTGTATAAATGTAATTACTTGATGCTCTTAGTTTTTTGAAGAAAAGAAATATGCAAGAATGATACAATGATGTATACTAAGAGTTAAGAAAATATAATTTTAAAATTTGTAAGTACTTATATTATTTCCGTTTGACGCTGAATAGATAGGAAGTAAAATTTTTATTTATATTCTTGATTAATATATGAGATATCTTTAATGAGTAAACTCGATTTCAGCGTATAAATTTCTTACGAATTGATAAGACGACTCTTGACAAGGGGATGACGATACCGAAGATGTGGACGTGGATTAATAAAGGAAGGCCAAGTCGGGGGGAACAATTAGATCGAGTTAACGGCCAACTTTAATCTTCTGTCGTCCGTCAGTCGCTTACTGCGTAGTGATCTGCCGCTATTAGAACCGTTATACCCTTCAAACCCCTTCCGTGCTGACAATTCATGGAAAAAGATACGCGTGACCTTTACCGCGCAAGCGACATCAATAGAGCCGAGTGACAGGACGATGTGGGTTTTCAAAAACGGATTTTTCATCCAGCCGTCAGTGGAAGTTTAAAGTTAATCCTATCATAAGAAGCAATATCAGGGTGTACCTATGAACAAAATTTAAAAGAAAAGATTTTAATTCAAATTGATTTAGACAGAAGATGACAGATTATGATCTATTTTAATGATGATATTTTAATGATGATAAATGCATGTGAATTAATATTTTTAATAATATAATTTTTTTTCATTCAATCGACAAAAATCTTGATACTTAATTCATATGCAATTTTTTGTAAATACACTTATTATAATCTGCATGCCGATTCAATTTAGATCAGACTTATAATGCAATCGCAAACTAAAGTTAAAATATTAATGTTCAAATTAAATTGATCAATTAACAATAATGCTAAACGAATATAAGTATCTTAAAAAAAGTATCTTGAAAAGAACTTATTGCGAAAAATATCACTTCAGTTAATGATTAAACTTGAAATTCGTATCTTGACAATCTCGACTCTCCGGGCGATATGTTGACATGGCGCATATAGAATCTGCGCAGTTTTAAAACTGAAAAACGTATTTGTAAAAATTTGCATACAAATATTCTTAAGAACCATACTGTTAAGATTCACTTCAATTGAAAAAATAGAATTATTTCTCGTAATTGATTTATTTTTATCGATTCAATTTCTGCTTATAATTGTTTATACATATTTTTTGAAAAATAACATTTTCTCACTGGTTGTTAGTTATTGTGACAAATATTTCTACATATCTCGATGGTAGAATTAGACTGAAAAAATTTATTAAATCTTAATACATATTTTTTTTAGTAATGAAATTAAGGCAAATGATAGTATAATACAATTGTTGAAACATTATTGCATAAGACAACAGTACAATTAAATTATACATTGTTGTTTTGTGCAGTATTTATTTGAATATATATTTCAATTTGAACGACTTTTTTTTGAGTCATCATCAGCGATACATAGTTCTTCAAATCTCTGACACTTCCCTCATATAACCATAGCCACTTGGATAATCCCAAGTGAGGTGCATGAATTTCATTGTATTTTTTATTAAAAATTCGATGATGAGAGAAGCGATTAAAAACAAGTGTCAAATATTATAAGAATATATGCATTCGTGTAAGAAACATTGTAAAAACATATCATTAGTCAGAATAGAATAAAATAACACGTGTTATTAATACGTCATATAACACGAATGCATATACAATATTCAAGTAATATTTAACACTTGTAATATTTGACATTGTATCAATAGTCTCAACTTTGTTTCACCTTGACCAATATGTGTTATTTTATTCTATTTGAACGATTTTGGCGATTTTGTTTCAAGTTTTATAAATCGAATCGGCTCGTAGTTTATAAAATGCAGTTAGTTTAACAAACGTGTTTGCAAAAATATGTATATGAATAATTGTTAAGTATTATCACTTTAACAAGAAATAGGATAATTTCTCTTAAGTAAAATCATTTCATTTTATACGATAACTCAAGTTATAATATTTAATGAACAAATTGACAAGTTCTTACTTTGGCTCGTTCACCACTGGGTTTGTACGTCAACTACATTCTGGAAACTTTGTCTTGCTTATCCCGTAAGCAACTCCGAGCACTTTACGTGAATATAGCAAACGCGCATCAGTGACAGAACCGTCCGCGTCCAGGCAAAAACGATCTTGAAGTCGATTCAAGAAGTTTCATTCACTGTATCGAGAAGGCTGAAAGCCACTACACATCACGTGACATGCATGTCGAGACAGTGCCAGATGCATATGTGTGCGTAAACACGCCTAGATTCGCAGGTCCCGTCAAACCCGGACCAAAGTTAAGCCCATCTGGATGGTCGTCAACCGTTTTTCTTACGTTGCAGTTTGCATCGCCAGTTTTTAGCGCATTCCAGTCGACTCAGATGTAGCATTTGCGTAAGCACTTCTTCCTATCACGCTGCGAGACACATTTGTCTGAGTTTTCTCCTTCTTTTTTATCCATTTTTGTTCTTCAGCTCCCTCTATTTTTCTGCTAATGAACCAAAAGCGATATAATAGAATTGTTTTCATAAGTGTTTTCACAAAACCCAAGTTCTCAAAAAAATATTTAATAAAATTAAGTTTTAATGATGTATTTATATTTATAGTGTCCACAATATTAAATTATTCACGTGATTAAATTTTAAAATCCATGTCTTTGAAAATGTTTTAAGCCTTAATTAATCGCATGAAAATACGTCATTTAACAAAATAACTTAGAGTCATGGTGATGGTGATCTTATGCATTTTATTATTCTAATGAAAACTTAATTAACATAGAAAAATATTTACTACTAATTATTTTTTAAATTTATCGGCCCATAATTTTGGCATGTTCCAATAGTTAAATTCAAAATTGCGAAGCATTGCTTTCAATCTGTTCATTTATATTGTAATAAAATAATATATATAAATATTCTCTTGCGACTTATACAAATACACACGTGCACACACAAATGTGAAAATTTTAAATTTAGGATAATATATTGCTTCTATGTTATAGAACCAAGAAAAAATTTGGATGTAATATTAGAAATTTCATTAACCCCTCCTTGTTTTTTCTTTTGTGCTTTTGACCGATGCAGTGCGATAAAGTACCTATCTGTTTTCTCGGACAGATCCCCGCAGGCGCGAGGCGCGTTTCTCATTACATTAAGTCACTCTGACTCGAGTCGTATTTTGATTCGATTGCAAAGCCACTAGGAAACACGATAATAATCGACCCCAACGATGAGGCTCGCGGAGAGCTTTAAATGCGATTAGCCGACACCGCGGTGCATCATACGGGCTGGCACGTGACCGCGTGTCGCGCGCACGGATTATAAATATAATATACCGGGTGTGTGCGAGAGACGCAATATGAGTGGTCCGAAGCCGAAATTGCCGAATGCCGAGCATCGAGAGGGGCTGTGAGATACATTCTCGAGATCTCCGCCCTTATTTCTCTCGTAGCGAGACGAGATGCACACGTGCCTGATTTCCGATTCATCCCACACTGTAAATCACAGCGAAACGAACTTTGATTATTAGACAAGTCCCACATTTCTGAATAATAATCAAATAATAATTCAACTTTGTAACGATTTTATGTTAGAAATTCCGCACTGTCTTCCTCTGTTTGTAAGATTTTGGATCAACCGGAATCTATTTCTTCTTAATTAATTTTACAGAATGTACTTTAAATTAATTTACATAACCTTTTTGCAATTTAACCATTAGAAATTTATTAAAATTAATTGTATTTAATTTACAGTACAAATTACACTAAAAAAAGATTTACTAAATTTTAATACATATTTCTTATGCATACATTTTATACATATATATTTCTTTACACATTTCTAAACATTCACATTACTCAGAATAAATATTTATTCAATAAAAATAAATAATAATTAAATCAAATTAATAATTTTTATATAAATACATTTACCTTTAGTAAATATTTACTTAGAACTAATACTTTTAAGCAAATATTTATTAAAAGTTTAGTTTTTTTTCAACATGATATTTTTTGAAATATTTACAATTTTTGGAATATTTATAACTTCTTTTTTATATTTAATACGTAAATTATCTAAAATGATACATTTAAATGAATTATTCATATCTGCGTTAATCATAAATCTTGAAATCAAATCTAGATTTCTCCGAAAGTACTCGTCAAATAATGATAATAAAATAAATACATTCTACGCGTTTAATCTAACAAATACATCAAAATTTATGATTGAATCATATTTCGTTTGAACCAATCGACAGATAAAATGATGCGACATACAAATCAAAGCTGCGTCGGAAATCATCGGTTTGATAATCAAAGAACACAGTAAATTCCGATTGACAAGCGATACCAAAATTGCGATCCGATGCAATTTGCAACTGTCATCGTGAAAATATTAATTTAATATTTCAATAATAATAAATGTTTAATTTTCTCGTTATATATTAATCAGCTATGGGATGTTAGAGCCGTAATTACGTAACATATATGTATTATCTGTTAGGTAATCACACTAATCGTACTAACAAAAGGACTTGATGTAATAATAATATATATTTTTGTACTATTCTCTCTCTCTACAACTATTATGTTAAGCGAAGGTATAGTTAGAATATCGAAATTCCTGTTAAGCATAAAATATTTTCCTTTGCTTTATTACTTAAGGATGATGCCATTTCACGCTGTAACGCGTAAAGAGTTAATCATGACTCACACATGGCACTCTGTGCGTCGGATGAAATATTCCGAAAGGGTGCGCCAGGGATTTCATTAAAGACACTGCTTCACACGAAACGTCGCGAAAATACATTTTGCTCTCGGCACTTCACTATTCGGTTCTTTCCTCGCGATACTTCGTTAGCGCAACATGAGACCCTGTCAAGACCTCTCGTGCCCTGTCTGTCCCTTAAACACCCTCGCACCAGCATGCTAGGAAAAAAAGGCCCAGTACGTGACTCAAATCTCATTCCGACTGGGTCCTTCCGCCAGAAGAAACGTATTTATCCGTGGCCTTCTTTTTTCGGATTCCCCTGCACCTAGCACGCGTACTTCATACGTGACGTAGCTATCGTCCGTCCAGTTCCGTCATTGGCCATCTTGCTCTCGTGACTAGTGTATGAACTCTGGTTTATCGACTACGAAATGTCATGTCTACTTGGAGATGTGAAAAATCCATACGAGATGATTATTGATTTCTTTTGCACTGAGCTTGATATAATTTTTAAAATTTATAATGAAAAATTAATCAGACAAACGAACAATTACAAATTAGAAATAATTTAATATTATATTTGATTATCATTAAATGATGTATTATAGAACGATTATCTTTCGGAGTTGGTCGTCTGGTGGGCTCGCCGGCGACAAGGAGTCCTTCCCCGTCTCAATCTCCTTGCCCGGATTCCCCTCCGCCCGATAGTCGGGACATCGAGGTGAATGTCGATGTCGGTGAAGAAGAAGTCGATGTGGACGTTGAGGAGGTCGGTGACGAGGACGATCATGAAGGTACCTCGAGTCCGCCACGATCGTCGTCAACACCATCGCCATCGCCAGTTAGCGTCGCGACGTCGCCCATATCGCATCCGCCGAAGAAATCCGGCGACAGTTTCAGCGTATCGGCACTCCTGAGGCCGGATCCTCCTTCCGCACACTTGCAGAATGCGTCCCCGCATCGAGAATCCGCTTCTATGGGCGCTCATCCACCACCACCCGGCTCGTCGATCCTATATCCACCGTTGCACCTTCAGAGCGGTCTCTTGCCACCTCATCCACATCACCCTCTCTCGTACCTGCATCCCCAATTGCTACCGCATCATCTTCTGCCACCGCACCTGCACCCGTTGTTGCGCGGCGTACATCCAGCTCACCCGGGACTGCATTCGACTCACACGGCACACGGGTTGCACCATCCTCATCCGCTCGGCGATGTCTACAGCTGCGTCAAGTGCGACAAGATGTTCAGCACGCCGCATGGGCTCGAGGTACATGTGCACATTCGACGCGTGCTTTTTTCCAGACTTACTTGTTTTGATTCATTTCTGATTTCCTGCTGATGTTCTCATCCCGTCCGTTCTTTATCGTCGCGATAATTAATTTTTATATTTTGCAATAATTTTCAATATATCAAAAACAATGTTTTTTTATTTTTATACTACGTAAAATAATATGTTATTAAGAGAAATTACCTTACTCGTATTTATGAAGGATCTATTTTAAACTTTATGCATGTAACAACAAGCAAATGATAAAAAATCACATGCATCAAGCTTAACACACACACACACACACACACACACACACACACACACACACACACACACACACACACACA